TCAAAGGCCAAAAAAAAACCCCTTGGCAAATTTTGGTTTTTTTTCCTTTTTTTAACCAGGGGCCCCCCCCGGAAAAAGGGGAAATTTCCCCCCTTTTTTTTGGGGTTTGGGGCAAAAGGAAACCCCCCGGATTTCGAAAAAAAACTTTCCAAAAACTTTCCAAATCCCCCGGAAAACCCGTTTCCCCCAAAAATCCCCCCAAAAACCTCCCCCCCCCCCCCCCCCCCCCCCCCCGAAACGCCGCGCGTTTTGCTTGCATCAGAACCAACCCCGCCGGAAGCTAGAACCGATAACTCCTACCCAATCTCCAGTTCCATCAGCCGCGAGACTAAACAAGCGGGGTCCAAAAGACTACACAAGAAGCGGGGTCGTCATCGCGTGCCAACTATAACTACTCCGAAGTACCATCTAGTAGCGGGGCTGGTGCTGAGGCGGCGCCATTGGGGGCAGCTCGTAGACGGCCCAGCGTCGGTTGTGCTGCTCCCCCGGCGGGTTGGGACCCGTGCACGCGAGGTCGGTGCAGCCGCAGGCCTTGGTCTGGAGGTCGCCGCACGTGCGCTCGCACCTTTTGGTGCAAAAATATATATATGGGGAAAAGGCAACGGTAGGGATACACACGGAAAATTTGGCCCACGGGAGAGCAACGGGGATGAACAGAGGCGGGAGACACGGGGATTGACATGCGGGAGACATGGGAATAAAACAAAACGGAGAAAACGGGAAAGAATCGCAAAAAGAGGAGACGGGGAACAAACCAAAATGGGAGACACGGGAATAACCACAGGCTGGAGACACCGGAACAAAGACACATGAGACACGGGGCACTGACACATATGAGACACGGGCACGGACACACGGGAGAAACGGGGATAACCACACACGGACAAGCCGTTGCGCATCTCGAGCGGACTCGATCATCCCTTGCGCGCAGCATCAAAAACAAAAGCATGCCAAACGAAAACGTTCGTAGGCACATCAACAAGCTAAATATAAAAAAGCCGCGTTGATACCAACGTCTTGCCAAGATTCGATGTTTATTCTTTACTCTTGTGTTCCACCGTCTTGCTTTTTGGGTAAAATTCAATAATTGTTAACTCTTGGGTGTTGAGGAAGGCGCACAAAGCCCCCCCCCCCCATGCGTTAGCTGTACTGGGGCATAGGAAGTGGGTTGAAAAGGCGGGAAGTGATATCGGTAGGATAGATAGATTAGGGAAGACATTCTTGAGCCACCTTTGGCAAATGGTGATCGGTCCTGTGGGCACAATGTTCCGTCCTTTGGAGGACGCGTGGTCAATGGCCTAACCGTTAAGGTATGCAAAACATGAGAGTACGCCCCCCCCCCCCTCTCCCATGCTCCCACTCACCCCTCGCCCTTCATATCCCCCCCCTTGGGCGCCCTGGGTTCCATGTAGTCGAACACGAAGGCATGACCGTCGTTCATAGCGCGTGCCACGGCGAAGTAGCGCTTGCCGTTCTGTGCGTGATCGTTGTTCAGATATCATATTTCGTGGAAGCAAACGCGGTGGGAAAGGGGAAAAGGTGAGTTGTCAAGAAACAAGGCATATGTATGTGCTTCACGGGTGTCCTCCGGTCTGTGCGTGATTATTGTTGAGACACCTCGTTTCGTGTTCGTGCAAAGTAAGCAAGCGCGGTGGGAGAGGGAATGGCGAGGTGTCAAGGGAACAAGGGAAAAGTTGTTTGTTTCGTGACAGATGTACATACATCACGACAGACGTATGTACTTCACGACAGTCAGCCGTCGTGTGCGCAATGTATGTCGTTTGTCGCTACACGCATTGATTACTGAAAAGAAAGCGGCCGCCCCAAGGCAGAGAAACAGCGAACAAAATATCTGAATCTCAGAGGCGAGGGGCAGACAGACAGACAGACAGACAGACAGACAGACAGACAGACAGACAGACAGACAGACAGACAGACAGACAGACAGACAGACAGACAGACAGACAGACAGACAGACAGACAGACAGACAGGCAAGCTAGCCATCCACCCCACCCACCTAGAGCCGAAACAATCCAGCCGACAACCTCAAAAACACACACACACACACAACCACCAAAGTAGGAGTAAGGAAATCAGAATAGGGTCTTGGAATGTATGCGGATTTGCCACAGATGAGCGTAAAAGACTCGAAATTGCCGAGCAAGCGGCCGAAAAAGACGTGGACATAGTCGGAGTCCAAGAGTCGTGGGAGAAGGACGGGGGAGAAATAGGAAAAGAAGTGGGAAGCTACACATGGATAGGTAAAATGAGGAGAGGACAGAAAATCAAGAGTAGAGGGGAGGGGGGAGTTGGATTCTTTGTCAAGGAGCACATGTGCGACATAATTGAGGTGATCAGCGACACCAAATTTAACGAAAGCATGTGGATAAGGGTACCAGGGGAACGGGGAAGAAAGGACTTGTTCGTAGGAAATGTATATATGCCACAAGAGTCGAAGAGTATGGTGAAAGACATCAGGATAGGTTTCGAGGAGGTAACAGCGGATGTACAAAACTTCAAGAGAAAGGGAGAAGTAGTTCTAGTTGGGGACTTCAATTCAAGAATCGGGCGAACCACGAACCCACACGGAACCATAGGGCAATACGGGGAGGGAGCCACGAACAAAAACGGGGAAGAAATGCTGAGGTTCCTTGACAGTAGCGAGATGAAGGTGTTGAACGGTAGAGTACGAAAGACAGAACCGGAATGGACTAGGCAATGTTTCAAAAAAGGAGAACGCTCCATCCTTGACTATATAGTCGTAGAGAATGGGGAGAAAGA